CATACTGATCGTAAACATAGTAAGATGCCTACGGCTAAAATAAAATAATATTCAGATCGGTGGAGAATGAAATGCCCAGGTCAGATTTGAGAACAAGGTTTTGCTATACTGTAAGGTTTGAATCAGGCCAACATTCTTTTCCTCCCAGCTTAAATGCTGTCTGGGAGACCAACCCATTTCTGCATTGCAGAAGCCAAGTTGGCCTAGGACAGATCAGCTCGCATAACATTGTCACCCCACGGATGATGAGACACTATGGATCCGGTGAGGCCCTGTCTTATGTAGAAGGTGGGAGGCTGGAAGGGGCATGGTTTAATGCAGTGATGCAACCGGCTGTTATATAGAGCAGGGGTACTCCAGTTTTTCCCCCTTATCTTGGGGGTAGCAGATGATCTTGGGATTTTATTAGGTTTGGAGTGTTTTGGTGATCATTATCTTGGCTTTTCTTGACTTGTTTTGGGGGAGTGATGATGGTGGTCTTGGGGTGATGGTCTTCAGTATCTTCATTTTTAGGCAGTGGCCTTTTTTTTAAAAAAAAAATTATGGTATAGGTGCTTTAGTTCCATGTTCCTGCATGATGTTAAGCTGTAAACCATAGTATACCTAGCCCAATGGCTGGGATGACCACTCTCAGCAAAACAAAAAGAACCAGTTTATAGTTTAACCCAATGTGTAAACTCAACGCGTAAGGGAGGCCATAGTACATACAGCATGGCGGTACGATTGCGAAGTAAGCATCTAACAGTCAGGACTGGGGAACCTGTGGCTCTCCAGATATCATGATCAACAATCCCAGTAGCTCTATCCAGCATAGCCAGTGGGGAAAGAGGCCTATGTCACATACATCACTGTTTAATGAGAATGGAATGGGCCATTCTTTTCTGCAGAGCCTCCCAGAAGACCTGTGGGAGCTCATGTGGCATTGCCCAACCTACTCTTAGGGAAAGGAAGAAACACTGGAAACTCACAGCCGCTTGGAACCAGAACAACATACATAGCTGGGGTCCCAGAATTCACTGGCTGGAGGTTCTCCCATGGGTGTCCAAGAAGCCAGATGGCAAACATAATGGTGCAGTTGAAGTTCCACCAGGATTTTATGTACCCATGACTCACATGAAAATCAGGTGGAGCTTCACTTGCCCCACTGTGGCTGCTCTCTTGATTTTCTCGACCACACCCTGCAGACATTCCTGGTCCCCCGCTCCCCCAAGCTGGAAAGAGGAAGGCCAGGATAGATGGGAGCAGGATTTTAGTCTATTGGGTAGAAGCTGTTGTGCAGTTCTCCAGCGAATGCACTCATGAAGGTTAATATCATTTACCCCAAAAGACACAGAGTAACATCCCTGTGAAAATGCCTGTTCCTTTCATGAGGCTGGTGGTAGTGCATTTTCTAAAGAAGGCAACCATTTTAAGAAGTGGCAGAAGTGAGTACGAAAAGCAAGCTTTTCAACACATTAGGAAATATGTTCTACAGATATATGTTCTCTCTCAATTTAAAACCAAATATAATCATACTTTTCCCCCTTTCCGAACAGTTGCAGAACTCTAAATGGCTGGATTACCAAACTTTCTGCAGCAGGCCTTTTGAGAGCACGTTATGCACACTGTCACAAAATAACCGGAAGGGGTGAGTCAGGGAGAAGAACACAGCTAGCGTGCTAAATATTTTCTGCATGAAGAATACAGACAATATGTTTGGGCGGGGTTTCCGTGAGACATTAAGTAATTTGGTCTAATGAACCAACAGGAGACTCTGAGTTTTAGTCCTGTTTTACCCCTCTGGGTTTTTTAGGAGAACGATCCAGATGCATCGTTTTAATTTGGCCCTTTACATTAGTAAAGACTATTTTCACTGTTTAAGGACATGGCTATTGATTCGGATACATTTATTGTTCCGTCTTTTAAATTGGTTTATATCAGTAGGTTACTTTTTAGCAAACAGGGTGCTACAGAAATATAGACGGAGGACTCATTTTGCGCATTTATGAAAACTGCTTGGAAAGGCTGGCCAGAAAAGTGTTAGAGATATTGTGAATCAATCAGATCTGTTTGCCTTGATTCTAGAGGGGGAAGGGTCTGCTTAACCATCCCCTCACCCCCACCTCCATGAGGTATGCATTAGTCTGTCTGTCTTAACTTATTTTCAGCCTGATTTTCCTCTTCCAGTGTTTGGATCCCAGAGCCAGTTGCAAACCATGGGCTCCCAACCTTTATTCTGGAGACCACTAGAGATTGCTCTGGGTTTCGCAGGTGGCAACATTAAAAAAAAACAACTTCAAAGCTGCCCCAAATCTTGCAAGATCTGATTAACTCACTCAAAACATTCACAAGATTGTTATCTTGTTTAAAGTTGGGTCTTGCTCTCCTTTTGGGATAAGAATAATATTTGCTTCAGACCATGACTCCGGTATTTGGCAACTGTTCAAAACTGAATTCATTAAATCCTTACGTGGAGATAGAATTTGTTCCAAAAATAATTTGTAATAGTCCGTAGATATACCATCAGGCCCTGGTGTTTTTCCTATTTTAAGTTTTTTTACAGCGTCTATAATTTCTTGATTCTTGATCGGGCCATTGATGTTAATTTGTTGGCTTTGTGTTAATTTGGGAAGATTTTGCTTATTAAGATAATTATCAATTTATTCTTCTGGGATGTCCTGCTTTTGATATAATTTTGAGAAGAAAGTAAAAAAAGCTTTTTAAATTCCTTTGTTATCTGTCACTTCTTCACCATTATCTCTTATTTTCGTGATCATTTTTTTCCCTTCTCTTTTCTTAATTTATAAGCCAACCATCTACTTGGTTTGTTAGCAAATTCAAAATTTCTTTGTTTTGTATAGCATAGTTTTATTTCTATATCTTTTGTTGTTGTCAACTCAAGTTGTTGTAACAATTTAATTTGATATATTAAGCTTTCATCTGATGGACTATCTTGTAATTCTCTTTCCTTTATTTTAATTTGATTCATAATTAATTGAAACTTTTCTTGGTATTGTTTCTTTATTTTATGATTGAAAGATATAAAGTGCCCCGCCATTACTGCCTTGCTAGCATCTCAAACTGTTCTAATGTCAACTTCCTTATTCAAATTCATATCAAAAAATTCTTTTAATGTTTTTTTTGCATCCTTCTACTACTCCTTCCTTTTTTAAAATATGCTCATTCAATCTCCATCTTATACCTTTATAAGTCTTCTTAAGTGTAACTATCACTGAGTTATGGATAATTGATCAGGGTCAGACTCGTTAACTGCAGCACTTCTGAATTTAGCCATTCCCTGATAAGACTGTACACGAGTTCTGGGGAAGCCAAAAGAGTTAAATACAAGGCTGTTCACTCACCTCGGTGACCATGAGAAGCCAAGGCTAAAGTAATCCTATTCTCCATATTGCCATGCTGGGATCCTGCTCCCCTTGGTGCTGTGAGACCTTTTCTAGATCGGAGCCCCTCATCTCTGGCTGTTCTCAAACGTTTCTGCTTTCACATTTCACTTTCACAATTAAACTTCACTAGTGGCAAAGGTTTCAAAAGATGTTTGAATTCCATTTCCTCTTTCATTTTCTCTGGTTTGGCTTTAAGCAAAATGTGGTGCACTGTTCCCGGGAATTACCCAATTCTGGGGGTCGCTAGGGCCTTGACAATGCTCCCTGGGCAACTGCCAATTATTCTTGGATCTATTTATTTTCTATTTATTAATAGCAGATGCGATTTTGTAGTTTTAATTCATGTTAACTGTTTTGCAACCCTCCCAGAGTCATTCGCCAAGATGGGCGGTGACACATTTGATATATAAATAGAAAAAATAAAAAAGCATCGGTGATTAATCCTGGGTTTCAGCACAGCCTTATCTGCTTGCCCTTTGCCCCTGCCAGCACCAGCCAAGTTAGGAACTTGTCTCTCTTTCTGTATCTTGCAGGGGAAATGGAGTTGCAGCCCTAGACCGCCTATGGGGCTGGGATCCAAAGGGGTCACCCCTAGCTCTTAACTGAATAAACCATGGCTAGGTGTGAGCAAGCAGTCTTGGAATGCCCCCCCCTTTCCCTAGCTGTTGGAAGTCGGGAAGGGGGGGAGAGCGCTCCCCAGAGGCCTCTCGCAGAGATTTTAGACCAAAGATGGTTTGCCATGTTTTATTTTTATTTATTAAATGTGTATGCTGCCCATCTCCCCCGGAGGGTGACTCTGGGCGGCTCACAATTAAAACTGAAAACAGTTAAAAATATAAATATCCACCTTCATTAGTTAGAAAGTCAGACTATATAAAAAGATCCTATACGTAAAAAGACTAAAAACATTCAAGATGACCGGGGGAGGGGGGAGTGGATGCCACTTCCCCTGGTGCCAGCCCCCAGGCCATCTGGCATAGCCAAGAGTGCAGGCTCATCCTTGAAGGCCATGGGGGGGGGGGGACACCAACCCCCAGGGGGCAAGTGGTTTTCGATGGGATTGGTTAGGGGCTGAGGCG